AAGTCTTTCAATTCTATTATCGAAACTGACAAGAGCGCAAAAATTAAAATAATAATAATAATCATAAAAAAAAAAAAAAAAAAAAAAAAAAAAAAAATTAAAAATAAAATTTTATTATGTTGGTAAGTCAGTTTCATGTTTTCTTTGTATAATAATCACGTGATTTTGATATAGTAACCCTTATTTTTATTTGATTTAAGAGTACCACAGAAGAGGAGTCCGAACATAATAAGTATAATAAAAGTTCTGATGATATACAGTATTGTAATGACTGTGGAGAGAAAAGGATTAGTTATGGGTGGTGTAAAAACTGCCAAATCGACTATTTGAGAAGAAATTTCATAGAATGGACAAGTGGTCACCCAATAATAGATGAATTGATCCAGTTTACTCAGATCAATGCAACGCAACCATGTGACTATTTAGAATGGATTGATTTCAAAGAATTTGAATTGATAAAGTTCGTCGCGGAAGGAGGTTATGGTACGGTTTATAAGGCTGATTGGTTAAGAGGGCCTTGTTGGCATTGGGATGAAGCTGATCAGTTATGGTGTCGCAATGGCCCGATGACTGTTGCTTTAAAAAGACTTAAAAACTCTCAAAATATTTCTTCGGATTTCTTAGATCAGGTAATTAATTAGTCTGATTTTATAATTCGATTTTTAATTTTTGACGAATAATATTTTAATCTGCAGGTAAAACGGCATTATCGTTGTTTGCAAAGCGGTTCTCTCGCTGATTGCTTTGGAATAACTCGAGATGATACCGGTGGATACATGTTCGTAATGAGGTTCTATGATAATGGAAACTTGTACCAGTATCTCGATAAATCCAATGGTATTATCAGTTGGAGAGACATGGTAGACATGCTCTGGGGTGTCGCAGGGGGGCTTGACAGGATTCACTCTGAGGGCCTTTATCACACAAATCTTCATGGTGGAAACCTCCTCATTGAGGACGAGTCCGTATCTACAGATGCTCGCATTGCTGATATTGGACTTCATGGTCCAGTGAATGAGTCAAGGTCTTCTCAAATTTATGGTGTTTTGCCATATATTGCTCCTGAGATCTTACGCGGTGAAGCGCCGTGTCCGGCTTCAGATATATATTCTTTCGGCATAATAATGTGCACGCTTGCAACTGGAAGGAGACCATGGTCAGATCGTCCACACGACTCTAATCTTGCTAAAGAAATCTGCCTAAAAAATTTGCGTCCAAATATTGACGACGTGATTGATGAAATGCCACAAGAATACTATACGATGATGACACAATGCTGGGATCCAAATCCTTTGAAACGACCAACCGCCTCGAAATTAAACGAAATGTTAGGTGAATGGATCACTTTTATCTGCGATGACCCAAACCCATCGGAGATTGCTGATCATTTTACCCAAGCAGAGGAAAAACGATGGGGTTTAATTGCAAAAAGTACGAAAAAACCTTACAAACCAGAAATTAATCGTGAAGCGTTCTACATAAGTAGACCTATTGATTTTTTAGACTGTTAAATTTGGTAAATTATTTTTTTTTTAAAAAATTTGAGTCATTATACTTGATATTTGTGTCTAATAAATGATACAATGCACATCTCTAGTTTCCATTCAGAATACCTTAATACCAGAAAATTCCATTAACGAAATTCATTGATAGTCGATTGGACGCGAAAGTTTACCCGGATAACCTTTTATTCATGATTAAATACGGATCTTAGAAAAAAAAACAAAACAAAAACAAAAAAAATAATGATAATAAAATTAAAAAAAAAAATTAAAAAAAAAAAATAAAAAAAAAAAAAAAACAAAAAAAAACAAAAAACAAAAAAAAAAAAACAAAAAAATTTTGCTATCAATGGAATTTAT